ATCACCGTAGATGATGAATTCGGCCTTTTGTTTATATATATGATTTTTGAAAACAACTGCATCGTATTTGGGGAAAGAAATTTTGCATTCGTTGACATTTTCGCATACAACACTGTGATCTGCCAATTTGGATTCGCTCGAAAAATAATTTAGACACCTATCGCAGAAATGTTTCTTGTGATCATGTTTATTGAGTTGTGAAGATAGCAATCTGGATATGTCCTTTATCCAACAATAATGATACTTTATGTCTTCGTTGTAATCATCTTCAGGCAAGGCATCATGGTCGTTGGGCTTGGGGAAATATTCACTTTGAATGAGAAGTAGATTGACATGTCTGGGCTGCTTATGTTTCGTGAGTTTTATGGGTACTACTTCAAAATACTCCGTCTGTTTACCATGAGTCAGTTCCAAGGCGTAAACGTTCACCGAGATATCATTAAGTTTTTCAAATTTAGGAATTTCGTTGATAGTGACAGGTGTTTTCAAGCCTGCGGTATTCAAAACTTGGCTGTAATGAGGATACGAGCTGGGCCTGTCTACATGTTGGTTAGCAGGATATAGAGCGCTCACGATACTCCAGAAGAAACATGCCTCACCAGTGTTTTTCACATTGATGCAGGCTTGCTTTTTCAAAATCTTCTCTGGCAGCTTGATATAGGATGAACCATTGCCAATCTCTAATTTATTAACATTTATCTCTAGAGAAACAATTTTCCTCAAGGCCCAGCCACTACCCTTCTCCTGGAATTCCGAAAGTTTATTAACTATAGTATCAATCACATTTTCCGCAAACCAACATTCTAAATCCGTTCCCTCATCCATTGGAGCATTCTTTGTACTGAAATATTTGAATTCAATAATCTCCGCATCAATCGATTTCTTGATAAACTCGCCACAGAAGGTGGTGTTGACTTTCAACATGGTTATTTTCCTCAAAGTTTTTCTAATTTGAATTTTGAAAATGTGCGATGCATCCTGCAAAAATTGCATCAACTCCTTATGACATAAATTGATTATGACACCCGTTCTAATTCTACTCGCGAAAACAGATTGAACATTCCTCCATATTATTCTATTTTTACGTTTACCAAGTCCTGTCCCAATATGATTCTTCTTCCTAATCAAACTCTGGAAACGTTGTAAATGCCCTACATTTGTTTGTAATTTTCTTAAAACCCCTGCTGTCGAATTTGCCTCTCTGATTGCCCTATTACATTCTCTTATATGCGTCCTTATTTGCCTTATCCATAATAATCTTTCGTCTGCTGATATGTTCTTCTTCTTTCCCAAAATTTCCTCCGCTCTTTTACATTTCTCAACTATATCATCACTAGTAGAAGCTATACTATTAACATTCATGATGCGAGAAATATCAAACAGAAAATAATATTTTACCCCTACCACTGTATTTCAATATCTTCAAAGAGGGCTGCGGGTCTGGTCTCGCTCCCTTCGTGAATGAGGCTGTATTTGCCTGGAGTGACAACTGGAAGCTGAGACTTGAAAGTGGCAACCACCCTCCTCGACAGAAAGACGTTAGATGTTTCAAGTTCTACCACAATAGCGTCTGGACCACTCTGATATTTTCAATGGGGTGAAGCTGGTCGATGGGCAAGGTACTTAGAGCAACAGTTGTCTTAACGGCAGCAACTCGATTGTTGATAGCTGAAACATCCATCTGATGAGAAACTTACTACTTCTAGTATTGGGTGGAATGATCACTAGTCACAAATAGGGTCGAACACATGGCCTTGAAACGTAATAAATAAAGAACTCACCTTTTAGAATAAGCTGGCACAACCCACACACAATAAAACAGACAGAAGCAACCGAACAAACAGGAGCAACCAAACAGACAGTAATGTCCGAAGAGACGGGAGCGGAGCAGATCGACTGACCAGTGTCAGAGTTTAGAATGGAATGACGCCTCCGAACGCTCTGACCGCCTTATATAGGGTTTGAGGTTGTGACGTCATCGGCCAGCAAATAACAAATGGGATTTCAAGATTGATCCTGTCTGATAGAGAGAACAAAGGAGGCATTGTTGGATGACTCATCGACCACCTGCGTCGTAACAATGGATGGATGATGTAATCGGACGACGTTGTTACGTAATCGGCCACCTGCAAACAAAGGAGACATTGTTCTTGTCGCAAACTTCTCAATAGCCGACTCGACGAAATTCCAAGAAACGCTGACAGTGCGTGGTGACAGGACGTAGATACAGGTATTGTTCAAGAATGTTTGGTGTCCCAGCGATAACAAAGGAGGCATTTCTCTCAGACAGATAAGAATGATGTAATCGGCCATCTGCGTTGGAATAAAAGAGGTATTGTTTGCTTGGCATCGCAAATCGCTGAAGGACAATTGCTGACTCGACGAAAATGCTGAAATCCAGTGGCGTATCATGATCCTGTGTCACGAAGGGTCAGTGTTTTGGGTCAAGAGTCCAAAGTCTGGAGTTCTTAGTGAAGACTGTTGGGACCATGAGAAAACACACCCAACTTGAGACCAATATGAGACCAAGGTCATGAGACCAATATAAGGCTAACGTCATGAATCGAAAGACGTTGGCCGAGGGTTACGAAGGAGATATAGGCCACAGGTCAAGATCGAAGGTCTAAAGTCATGATCAGACGTCAAAGGTCACAAGGAGGTTAAAGGTCATGATCAGAGGACAGGGGTTGCGATCCGAGGTCGAAGGTCACGATCAAAGGCCATGGTCGGAGGCGCCACGGTCAAATGTCGAAGGTCACGATCCAAGGTCGAAGGTCACGATTAGATGTCAAAGGTCACGGTTTAAGGTCACGATTAGAAGTCGGGGGGTCGTGATCCAAGGTCGAAGGCCACGATCAAATGCCACGGTTGAATGTCAAAGGTCATGATTCAAGGTCAAAGGTCACGATTGAAGGCCACGGTCGAATGTCGAAGGTCACGATTCAAGGTCAAAGGTCACGATTTAAGGTCGAAGGTCACGATCATATGTCACGATCAAAGGTGATTTGTCACTTGCCATTTTTGACACTTGTCGTTGTTGACACCCGTCGGCATGATCTAAGGAAGGTCAGGTTAGATGTCAATAGCTATAGCCAACCATATTGCTATCTCTGTCGGACTCACTATCCGGCCCATGCTCTCTGTCTAACACATTGATTTCCCTATGTGGTCCCGTACCGGCCTAGCACTACTACTTCACATATTTATTCGAGTTAATTGTTTCGGTTGCATAAAAAATAGCATGTTTCATTCGGATCAAAAGTGACTTTGTTCGACTCGCAAAATTTGCTTTCGCTCGGCTTCGCTAAACGCTCCGCCTCGCAAATGCAAAATTCGCTTATCAAACAAAGTGTCAATTTTGATCCTAATAAAACAATCAACTATTTTTCTACAAGCGGCAGGGAAAGTGGCTTCTTCCTGCCACTTAGTAGGCAAAAAAGGTGTTCTTTTACTGCCTAGGCAGAAAAAGATTGTTGCTATGCAACGTTTCAAGAAATTCTAATGGAATTAGTTATCAAACTTGACATTGTCATTGAGTGAACACAAAATGAAGGAGATTTCAATGAAAAAATTGAACAAAATTGGTATTATATCATTTGGAGAAAGATTTCCATGTTTCACACGGCAGCAAATGTAGATAATCTGCTCGCTATGCTCGGCTATGAACTATCAGCCGCTGCAGTCAATCTACTACTTTTCTGCCTAGTAAAACAAATAACTATTAACTTCAAGCGGCATAACATGCATTAAAAGTGTACTTTTACTGCCTAGGCAGAAAAAGTTTCTTGGTATGCAACGTTCCAAGAAATGTGAATGATATTAGTAGTCAAAATTTACAGTGACATTGGGTGGACCCAAAATGACGGGGTCAAAATTTACAGTGACATTGGGTGGACCCAAAATGACGGGGTTTCCAATTGAAAAATCACACAAAATTGGTTTCATATCATTTGGAGAAAGAATTCTATGTCTCAAACGGCACCAAATGCAGATTGACTGCCTTTACTAAATTCCTAGCCTCGCTACGCTCGGCTATGAACTAACATCCGCGACAGTCATTCCACTACTTCTCTGCCTAGTAAAACAAATATCTATTGCTGTACTCAACGGTATTTTTCCATTCATGATCTATGCAGTCATCAACTATTTCTCATTCTCCTAATTACTGGATCCCAAGTTAATTGAAAACGAGAGAACATGTCTGTATTTGGGACAAAGTATTATCATGAATGACCAACTTGTGAGTGTGAGAAAATCATCATAACATTCTCATAACATTTGTTAAAGAAGTGTGACTCCATCTCGAACAAAAATGTCGTTGCAACAAATTTTATTGAGTTGTATCCACAGACATACATGTTCATTATTATCAGAGTGTGTCATTGAGTTATCAATAATATCAACGAATAACGTTCCAACACAAAACATGAGTACAATTTCATGAATCAACGTCAAAATTGTACTCTAACATCAGCCAACTCGACAATTGCAACGATTTGGGATATCAAACCCAAAGTGTACATACAGACTGCTTCATTTTATCATCATTATCAAGAATTTATCACAAGGGTCAAAAAATGATGATGCTCTAATTCTAGTTTCTTTTTGTTTTTGTTACGTGTTATGTTTGAATCAAAATTTGATCAGTACCCTGGATTCCTTTCCCAACCAGCTTCTCGATGAGGGGTCACAAGCCATAGGGATGCATTCGAAAAAAATATATCGAGGTCGCTTTCAGCTAAACCTGAAGGGTCCGTCATGATATTGCCCGTGAAATATTAGTTGTTATATCATGGTACATTGCGAATTTTCAGAAACATCATTCACATTTCCTCAGCTAGTTTTTCATCAGTTGAGGCCTCCCTCCTGTATGAAATGACAGCGGCAGAAAATCGTTCCATAAACCATCTCATTTGATTTTTTAATAATTTTATTTGCAATGCTCATCTCGTAGTATCTGATATTTGAATGAGTCGACTCTCAGTATTTCTTCGTTTCAGGTGATTTTGGTGAGATGGAACGAGCCCTATCAAAAACTGGCTTCATGTGACAGTCTGGGAATAATTTACATATGGATAAAGTATGAAGGACGATGGTCGATAGAGCTGATAAACGACCGCAATACCCCTGTCACCCACTTCTCCTGGTCTCATGATGGGAGAATGGCTTTGATATGTTATCAGGTAATGAAAGGGCGGTAATTGGAGTAGAACCGACCTATAGGCTTCGAGTTATTGAAACCGCATTCTCATCAAATCATGAATAGATTATCGCTGAACAGGAAGAATTGGAATAGAAAATGTTGAAGAATATAGTGGGTACTGTCGTATTCAATGAAATAGCATACAATTATAAAAAACAGATGTTTACGTCATCCTATTTTTATCTAATATACTTTTTTTATCGCTTGGAACGCACGAGAGGAAATCCCTATGAAAGCTTTAATTCAATACCTATATACCAGGCTTGTTCTGTTTAGAACGAACGTACTATTCTACAAATTTTGCGGGGTATCTCCCTTATCAGTATAGACAGAGCATTGCGGTTTTCGCCACAGTGTGCTACTTCATTATGGAATTAAAAATGGCTCAAGCAGACTTGTGATAGCTCTAGTGGTTGTCGAGATACAGGGTGGGATTGAAAAATATCACTTTTCAGGCATCCCCCGTGGGGTGCCAAGGGAGGAACAATTGTTGATATTTCAGAAGAGCATCGACCATGAAAATATCTATGAAATGAAGCCAGATCGCCAACTTTTCTACGATGTTCCAGAGAAGTGAGTGAGTTTGTGAGTGAGGCATCACCCACGAGACAAATTACCATTTTTTGGACATAATCCAACAGTTTCAGGGTATGTTTGGGTGCTGCACTCCAAATATTGCAGCTGACGAAAGTGAAATAGCTCCTGGCCCGAAACAGGAAACCAAGTTTTTGGTTTGCACTATAAGCAATTGATCTCACGTGATTTTCCACCGTTTTTTCCTCAGTTTTATATTTTTAATGAATTGAACAATTAAAATAATTCATTTTTCCATCTCCTGTGTGATTTTCGTATCTAGCTCAGTTTTTGAGGAAACCATAAGAATTCGCTTTGACTCCAAATTTTAATGTGAGTATTTCCACGACTTTCATTGAGATTACTCAATAACCCCAATTGAAATCATTTTGGAATTTGGAGCTACCTCAGTCTCCCACCATACTGAGTTTTGACACTATGAAAGCTTATACAGGGAGGTTATAAATGAAAACAATTGATACTTCCAACTTCAACATCCTGTATCTCGAAAACGGAGCGAGGTATGATACATCTTTATGAAAACTAGAATGTCACCAGGAAACACCTCCTGAATTTTCTTGGTGTTATTGTATACTGGTATTCTCTTTCGTGACGCGCCTGGCCGTGTTAATTCCATCTCAGAAAGTGCCAACGAGTCTATTCACGGAAATCAATGTAACCAGGTGGCGCATCGTTCCATGTCAAAGCCACGTCAAAACTGGGGGATAACAAACTCAATCCTCACTCAATCCCATTAGTGCCATTAACTTGTGTACTGTGTACTGATAAGAGTGATAAGTTTTCAAATTTCTTGACATTAATTGCCAATATTCGTTCGAAAACGCTAATGATGCCTGTTGTAGATATTCTTTTGGCAGATATTTTGCTCTATTCAGATGGAAAAAGCCGACCAGTAGTGGTAGGAGAAGCAGTTCTCCGTGCTGATCGTGTGATTTTGTGTGAGGCAAAAGGCACATTTTTGCACTTCGTCTACAAACTCCGGCGATGAAATCTTTCCCACATGAAGTTAAATTGAAGTTGGGGTCCAGAGGCACTCCTGTATGGATCTGTAATCGTTCCTGCAGAGCAGGACAATTTGGGTATTGTAAATATGTTGAATTGTTTGAACTATCTCCAATTCTTCACTAGTTCACTGTTCACTAAACTAATGAAAATGCAATAATGTGAAAAATCAACCAACTCTACCGTCCTCACTACCAATAGTGCCAACACTCTATTTTATTGACGAGTTTGACAACTACAACTATACAGCAAGCTGTATGCAATGTGGTCTATGCACTTCATCCATAGACAACAGTTTGTTTTCCTCCGGTTTGAAGTTCTTATTATGTGACCTAGGTGTCGCCCACTTCGTGAATCTTGCGAATAGAATATACTCAAATAACAAGGAGATTCTGGAATGTAGCAGGGGTAACAAATTCTGACAGGACCAATCACGATACACTGTTGTCTAAGATACCACCTAGGAAAGAAGAAAGAAGAGAAACAAATGAGTGGACTGTCTATTGTGCTTTGTGGAAGACGAAACGGCTGAACACATTCAATGTCCATGCTCTTCCTTAGAGAGACGTAGGATCGACATATTTAGCTTGACCAATTCAAAACCTACCGATTTCAGACGAATCCCACCCAATGTGGAAACTTGTGAATTATATAGTGAACTGTAACCTCTAGGGGTGAGCCACAATCACCCATCAGGGGTCGCAGTAAAGAGCGCACCACTCACAGGAAACCTGACCAATCATTATTACGATTATTATGCTCTCGAACTAACACCTGTTTTCTGTAAGTTCTTCAACTACTCTCACAAATTGAGGATATTCATGTCCAACTGGGAAATTGCAAGAGTACAATCAGTTCCTAAAAAAGGCAAAAAGACCCTACCTAGCAACTACAGACCAATCGCACTGCTATCTATTATTTTTAAGATCATGAAGAAATCTATCAACATCGAGTTCATGAAATACCTGGAACATTCATGTATTATCAACGAAAGGCACTATGGCTTCCGTCATCAGAGATCAACTGGTGACCTGCTCGCTCACGTCCCACATATATGGCAGCAATCTATCGAAAAATATAGCGAAACCTTAGACGTGGCAATTGATATCTCCAAAGCATTCGATCGAGTCTGATACCACGGACTCCTCGCCAAGCTTCCATCTTATGGCTTGCCTCCCCAGCTATGTTCTCTGCTAGCTTTTTTTCTCTCAATCAGGTCTCTTCATGTAGTGGTCGACGGAGTTGCATCTGACTCTCTCATCAAAAATGCTGGTATTCCGCAAGGATCAATTCTAGCACCAACACTATTTCTACTCCATATCAATGCTTTGTAGGAAGCAACTTCATGTCCAGTACACAGCTTCGCGAATGATAGTACTCTCTATACCGCCTTCTCTTCCAGGGCTCCAATATCAGCCAGGCAAATCAGAAACGAACGAGAAAGAAATGTTGACAACAAAAATATGGACTTGGCAACAATTCTCGAATAGGGATCCAATAACTTGGTAGATTACAATGCAAACAAAACACAAGCATGCCTTATCTCTAAAAGAAGCCAATCTCACTGTGCCCAACATATGCTTGTCAGCAGTAACCATACCTTTCAAGACATCCATTTCGATGCTTGGCATTACTATCAGCTATAACCTTTCTTCGGAAAATCACGTGTAATCAATTGCTCAAAGTGCATCTCAAAAACTGGGTTTTTATTTCGAGCCAGGAGCTATTTGATTTTCAGTCTGCTGCTTATTATCTATTTATAAGGCACAGATCCGACCTGTCCTGGAATACTGTTTCCATATTTGAAGAGCAGCACCCAAACCTACCCTGGAACTGTTGGATTCTGTCCAAAAAAGGCAATTCGTCTCGGTGAGGCATCACTCGCCCCGCTGACAATCTAATTCAGTTCTTTGGAACACCGTAGAAAAGTTGGCGATCTGGCTATTATTTCATAGATATTTTCATGGACGATGCTCCTCTAAAATATCAACAATTGTTCCTCCCTTGGCAGTCCCCGCTCGATCGACCAGTCGAGTTGAGGCTTCGCACTCTCCATGGTCACTTCGGAGACCTGCAGAACATCTCTTTCCAAAGACTCGTTGATCCAACGAACAGCGAGGCTGTGGAAGCCAAAGGAGGTGTTCCCCGAGGCATATAACCTCCATAAATTCGGGAAGACTACCAATTCCTACCTCATTTTCCATGGCTCTCATGATGTTTTCTGTGTCCCTTCTAGTGGGAACCAGAACATAAAAAACCTATTGTAAGGAAATGCGAAGTATACAGTGAACTGTAACCTCTGGGAATGAGACATAATTAATAGACCTATATTGAGTCGCAGTCAAGGGCCTGCTTTCTCCCCACTCACAGGATAAGTGACCTCTAATTATTATGATTATTATTATTCACAGGATGGCTACGTCCTAGTGGGCTCGGTGGCCGGCCAACGCTACTGGTCCTCGATGCTGAACCTTGACTCAACCATCACGTGCGGCGTGTGGACGCCCGACGACCAGCAAGTCTACTTCGGCACCGCCGGCGGCCACATCGTCGTGATGGACGTGCACGGCGCGATGGTAGCGCAGGTGCATCTGGGCGGGGCGGAGCCGGCGGTCGGAGTGGGAGGCATGGCGTGGTCCTGCGAGAAGTTCAAGATGGAGGAGGGGGAAGATGGAGACGGTGGGGTGGCCAATTCTGACGGTAGGATTTGATAAGCGACTAGGGTTGAGGCTATATTGAGGTGGAAAGATTTGATAATCAGTTTTACAACAACGAAATAGCCACAATGCTCTGAGTGGAATGAGATGTTGAATACATGCAGAAATCTCAAAGTCATATTCACACAATGTGCATGAAATGAACAACAATGGTGGATATCGGGAGAAACACATCTTATTTGCTGGCTAATGCCACGCAGGAGATCATATTATCCCCCGAAATCTATGCATCGACTTGTATAAACGAATACTGATACAAAGGAGTCTTTCCTGAATGCCCATAAATTAAAACACCACTGAAATGTTCCGTGACGTTCCCATGACATTTCCGTGCTGTTTCGTAACATTTCCGTGCTGTTTCGTAACATTTCCGTGGTGTTTCGTGACATTTCGCGGTCAACTCCATAATGTTAATATTCGTGCCCAGTATTATATTCATATTCCAGCACACCATACAGAGAAATTCTAATCTTCCTTTGCCTACGAAGCTCCTCATATTTATAATAATTTAGATGACCATCTGAAGAGAATGTCAGTAAATTCATTGAAGGCAAATTTGAAAAAAATCCTTCTAGCCAAACAATTGACCGTCAACTCATTGTAAAAATTTGAAAAGCTTAATGAATCTATATTCCTCCTCTAGCCAAAAAGATTATCCTGAACTCATAATAGAAAGCCATATCTCATAATATATCTTTCTCTCACATTCGTCAAGAATTTTTCTTCTTATGATTTTTTTTCTTTGTTTTCAATACAGAGTATAGTTCTGATTACGTTGAATGCTACAATGATATCTATGTTCATTTCTATAATCGTTAGGTTGAAATGTAAGAATAGTTTTATACTAAACTTTCGCCTGATGAAGACCTATTATTATTATTATCATTATTTCGAAGCCGGTCTGTTTTGGTTAGTCGGGTCACGTGGTTCAGAGAAAGGTGGAGGGGAGGGGTTGGACTGGAGAGGCGGAATACCTACACACTAGAGAAGGTATTATAAATGATCCATTTCTCGACCACGAAGCATTCATATTTATCAACAACGTTTGCGTGGAAGTTGATTTCTTATACTGTATTTGAAAAAAAATTCAATCAGAAAAAAAATTCGAAATATACAGTGCCCTTTGAGAGCAAAGTTGACATTCTCAATTATTTGAGTTGGGATTTGAAAAAAAATTGTTAATGTCACCTTGTAGTATCTGATGAATCATTCCATTCGCCATTTTGTTCCTCGTAATCGAATAGTTAAAAGCGGCGCTATGATGACTCAGGGAGTGTTTTGTCTTTCAGCCTTCATACTCTATAATATGTATATCATTTGTAAATACTTATATTCTATTCATTTTTATAATTTTTCTAATATCTCAAATAACTTTATAGGTGGTCGTAAATTCGTATTGGCAGTATCTCTTCAAAACGGCTTCGTATTCCTCTTGTCGACTTACGACGACGTATCTCCGATCCAGATAAATACACACTTGCAAGGACCTTTGAGCATGGAGTGGAGCAACTCCAGGGAGTTTCTAGCCATCGCCGGAGTTTCTGAAGACTCGCCGTGTGTTGTACCGCAAGTTGAATACACCAACGTGCTGAAGTTTTATAATGAAAAAGGAGGGCTTCTGTATTCTATCGTAATACCAGACAGACTGGTGAGTTGAGAAATTGTTATTTTTATATAGCCCTAGTTTCCAAACTATGTATGTATCCACAAGAACTTCGAAGTAATTGCGATCAATTGGAGACGCTAGTGTAAGGAAGGGATGGGTGCATAATCCTGCAAAAGTGGAATTACTGCTTCTTCATATTCAAAAAGTTGCTCTAAATTTTATCTCTACAAATTCCTTCTGTACATACTTTGTGAGTTTTTTTACATTCCATCTATACGCTCATTATATTTGTTGACAATTCATAGTTACCTACCAAGGGTATCAAAAATGGTTAATTAATATTATTATCATCATTTTTATCATTATTTTTATCATCAACATCATCATTATTATAATCATTATCCTGACGTCACATTGACTACTGTATCGGGGTTGGACATTTCTCAGGGGATGAGTAAATGAATGTGAGCTTGTAGAAGATACAGACTGAAAACTAATACCATGGTTTAACACATGAATGTACGGCCTTTGTCATACTCACATGCAAATTTTCTCGAATAACTGAACTATAATTGAAAACTCTTCACCCACCTCATAGGAACAATAGAGAAAATTACCCAAGTTATTTCACAAGATGAATCAATCCAAAAGGTTATTGATTCAAAGCCACTATCTCTTTGGAAAGCTCGCTGACACCAAACTAGATTTGCAAAAAGTCGGTAGGTCTAAATTCGAGAACCGAGTAAATGATGTTGAATATTAGGAATGAAATGGTTCTGCTCGCGCCATCTAGTCCTGCTCATATTGACTGATTATCAGCGATTAAGCAACGGAAGTAGGTTCCTGTAGGTCGCGTTTATAGTACCCAAAGAGCCAGTAGCACCTACAGGATTTTACAGCTCGTAGGATTCTGTTACACTACTCATTGATGTAACAATAAAATAACTAGTTTGAAATAAAAGTAATGTAACCCATGATGTAACGTGATGCAGACATCCTGCACAAATGTATCATTAAGTTTGAATCCACTTATCACTATTTTGTTGCGTAACTGATCAAATAAATCATGAAATGTTTATGCGTTAGTTACGTAAATTCGTTTTTTGGGTGCATTCGCCTTGTGTGCATACTGAGAATAAAATTGATATTATGGTCGATTGAAGCAATATCAATATCAATTATAATGGGTAAATCCACGGATAAAACACTAGAAATAGAACTGATTCTCTGATTCAACAAGTTGGATCAACGGGAACCCAAAATTCAATCTTTTTTAGAGAGTTCGAGAGTTTCAACAGTCTTCCACAAAACATTTCCGAATGGGAAGTGAAATCATACCTCTACAATCAATAACGAACCCAGTGAGCACGTCACGTCGAATTTGAGCAGACATTAGAAGCAGTTAATGGTGCAATCATGGATGCATACGAATCCAGCTGCCCCATTAGAGAAAAGAAATCACACAGTGGTACCATTTGGTGGAACGAACACCTGTCAAATCTAAGATCCGAGGTCCGCCGGCTATTCAACAAGGCCAAGCGGGACGGAGACTGGCAGGGTTACACCGAAAGGCTGACAATTTATAACAAAGAAATAAGAAAAGCTAAGAGAAATAGCTTCAGGAACTTTTGTGAGACAATCACTTCAAGTCCACCTGCAGCCAGACTGTACAAGGCCATGGCGCGGGGCAGGGAGCAAGGGCCAATGTCTCTCAGAAGATCAGATGGTAGCTATACAGAAGATGAAGAGCAACGAGCTCTCCTTTTACTGGAGACGCACTTTCCAGGTAGTACACCATATGATCCTGAGAGAACACTGGAAGAACCAGGCAGAGCAAAACGAGAAGACTGGGATGTTGCAAAAACCATTTGCACTCCGGCAAGGTTGAAGTGGGCAATCGACTCTTTCCAACCATTCAAGTCTCCTGGAATCGACGGCATATTTCCAGCCCTTTTACAAAAAGGGCATAAGGAACTACTGCCGTTCATTATCAAGGCAGCCAAACTCAGTCTGGCGTCCGGGTACATACCGAGCAGCTGGACGAGAGCGCGTGTGACTTTCATTCCCAAAGTCGGGAAGAAGGACCCTACCCTTCCGAAGTCATTCAGACCGATCTGTCTCACATCCTTCTTACTGAAGACACTGGAGAAGATCGTAGATAACTACATCAGATGTGAGATACTGGAGAGGGTGCCCTTGCACCTAGGACAGCATGCATATAGGGCGGGCAGATCAACCGAGACCGCCCTTTTCGTGCTCACCGAAAACATCCAGAGATCACTTGAACATAAAGAAATCGCCATATGCGCATTTCTAGACATAGAGGGGGCATTTGACAACACCTCTCATGAAGCAATAAAGAGAGCTCTAATGAACAAGGGAGTGGACAGAACCACATCCAGATGGATGTGTCAAATGCTGACCACAAGAACAGCGGAAACGAAAGTGGGCGAGAGCAGCTTTCAAATCAGTACGAACAGGGGCTGTCCACAAGGAGGGGTACTGTCACCCTTGATGTGGAGTCTAGTAGTAGACGAACTACTCGGAATTCTTACTGAGAACGGAGTAACTTGCTTTGGATATGCGGACGACATAGTCATCATGGCCAAAGGCAAATTTGAAGGGACCCTCTGCGACCTCATAGAGAGAGAGCTAGAGACTACCAGAAGATGGTGCCATTCGGTGGGGTTGAGAATTAACTCAACGAAAACCACACTGGTACCTTTTACTAGAAGAACGAAGGTTCAGCACTTAAGGGTCGTCCGTCTAAACGGAGAAGACCTAGAATGGCAGCAAGAAGTGAAGTATCTAGGGCTCATCCTTGACTCAAAGCTTCTCTGGAATAGACACGTAGAAAAGATCGCCAGCAAGGCAAAATCATCACTGATGGTGTGCAGGAACCTTGCAGGCAAAACGTGGGGGTGTAACCCATCAATACTGCGATGGATGTACACCATGCTAGTGAGACCAATGATCACCTACGGAGCAGTAGTGTGGCACGGCAGAACCGAACTCGCCACTACAAGGAAAATATTAGAGAAGGTGCAGAGACTGGCATGTCTTTGCATAACAGGAGCAATGAGATCAGCTCCAACAGCAGCACTAGAGGTCATCTTGGATCTCACACCTCTACACATCGTGGTGAGGAAAACTGCCTATGGAGCACATCTCAGGTTAGCCAAGGTCGGACTGAGAGGGAAAACGCACAGTGTGAGGGGCTCACCCCCCACTGAGATCGTACACCTCGCCGATCTTCCAACAGATCAAATCATTAGGAAGTTCAGTTTTGAGAAGAACTTCCGAGTGGAGCTGAGCAACAAGCGCGAATGGAGCACAGAATCCATCGAATCACTGGGAAGGAACACCATTACTTGGTATACGGACGGGTCTAAAACACCCGAGGGAACTGGAGCAGGAGTCTTTGGGCCTCGCACCAAATACTTCGAATCCATGGGACAATTCCCCAGCATTTTTCAAGCGGAAATACACGCCATAGGAAGATGCATCCAGTTCAACCTAGACAGGAAATACCGGAAGAAGGACATCGCGATCTTATCCGATAGCCAAGCAGCCATCAAAGCGTTGAGCTCTCCCTACATCAACTCGAAGATGGTATGGGAATGCCTAAGCAAATTGAATGAGCTAGGCAGCAACAATAAAGTTATCCTCCTCTGGGTGCCAGGGCACATCGGAGTGGAGGGGAATGAACAAGCAGACGCTCTGGCACGACAAGGGGCTTCAACGCCACTGATCGGACCAGAGCCATTCTGCGGCCTTGGAAATTCCTATTTCCAAGGAGAACTTGAGAAGGCGGAAGGAGCCTGGAGAGCCAGACAATGGAGAAGGCTTCCAGGACTACGGCAGGCTAAAGATCTCCTTGGAAATTTCAACCGAGAAAGATCTAAGACACTGACAAACCTCAGCAAAGGAAGTCTCAAAGCAATAACGGGATTTCTAACGGGGCATTGCAGACTCAAAGAACACCTAAGGAAGCTAGGCTTACAGGAGGACGGCACCTGTAGATTCTGTGAGGAAGAACCAGAAACACCCCATCACATACTGATGGAGTGTGACGCTGTACATCACAAAAGATTGAACATACTGGGAACACACCAGCTGACTGTGGAAGAAATACCACAGCTAGACCCCCTCAAAATCCTCAAATTCCTGAAGGAATTGAATCTCGAGGGGCTGCTATAAACAGGAAATCCTTGATATAGCAGGAGCAGATGGGGCACAATAGATCTACTTAGGTCGCAGCGCATCTGTCACCATCCAACCTACCAATACCAATACCAATACCAGTGAGCACTATCTGACAATTTTTCTCATAATTTTCAATAATTATACAGGCTGATTTTAAAATAAGTGCATATATTTTGAACACTAAGAAAGCTTGAGGTATACTACCGAATAGCACTATTAAAAATATTATTAGGATCAAAATAGATTTGGGGCAAAATACCCTTTTTCCGCCCAGATTTCTACTTCTGCCACAACTATCGTTTGCGATCCGCAGTCGACCGTGATGAACGAAGCGACGTTGCCACTCTACATGAAAATTAGGAGATATTAAATAAAATGTATAATCGAGAGAATGTACATGGGGAAGAAGTTAACCCTGGTCTTGAATTTCAGAAAGATAATACAAAAACTTCAAAATGGACTCACCCAAGATTTCTACGCATAAGCTCGAATAGCGTATAACTTAACACCTCACGGTTGGAAGTTTTTTTACTGAAAAATCCTTTAGACCCTTCCTTCCACCTCCTCGCATCGCTACAATTTCGTGTCCTTCGAGGAGTCTCATGGGCCCCGCACAATAACGACCCTACATAAGAACCATATCTTTCATCTCTATGTTTGAGAAATGCATCGTCACATTCCAAGCAAATTGTCAGAAACAAAACTTTACATTCACTAGTCAGTGTTGTTCCTGGGTCTGATTTTTTCGTTATAGATTTCCTTGGAAAAAGGTATCAGATTTGTATCAAAAGATAATTGACTTGAAAAATCTGACATTTGACATTCGGAATGTCATTCTTGTCAAACCCTATCGCACTAATCACAGTTTGACATAAATATAGAACATAGAACGGAACATAATTATCCGCTGAGCACAGAAATAGATTTTTTTGTATTGGAACATATTTTGGTGCTTATAGCAAATAGTAATAGATTCATGACAAATCGTAATATCGTAACAATCTTCGTGAAATAGAACGCGAACAATCCTAGTTAGTACTGTCAAAGGTCACAGCAAAGAGGAAATCTATGGTCACAGATACTACTGTTCTGAGAAATGATGTTGACAGATCATATGATAATAGTTTTGTTTGTGTGGTTGCTGGTTTGTAAAATAATTGTAAACGTAAAATTAAAAATAAAATGATTGGATGTTGTGTCTTGTGTCGTGATAATCGTGATATGGTCGTGATCGTGTTTTCAATGTGAGATTGCCAGGAAGGATATGTCGTCGTCGGGTCGTTTTCGATGGTTTAAGTGCGAATATGAACCAACAAGAACACAGGACGATATTAGTCTGGAATGGACTCGATATTAGTATTTGTTTGCTCTCGGGAGTTTTGCTGTTCGAGCAGGTATGAGAAAATCTTCTAGGTGAGTCGATTTTCAACTTTGTGTATGTTGTGTACCTATTTATTGTCTGCTAATTTTGTATCTACCCGCTGGGGCCTTATTTTCGGATTGAAGGAAGGGGGACGTTCTATCATTCCCCTCATGTTTCTTTTCGTCTCTCGTGATCCATGGAGATAATCACCCCACAGTTCTCTCAGTAAACTTTAAAAAATAAGGCTCCTGTACATATTACATTCACCTCTATTAGCTTTCATAACCTATTCCAATTCATATGCATTCTGTGACAAATTTTTTTCAGGATATTCGTCTCTGAAACAATCTGGCATCACTGTCTTGTTTTGACGTTATCGAATGACGAATTGGGGATTCCTTGGGATTCAGCAGATCTTGCTTCCCAGTGGCGAACTCGAATTTCGAAGCATTTTATGTTCAATTTTTAAAATGAAATTTCTCGTTGATGTGAAGACTTAGGAAAAATCAAATATTTCAGTAATTTTTGTTAGACTCTCTCATATATATGTCTTGAATATATGCACTCATTTTGAAATCACCCTGTATATATGTGGTTACCTCGAAATGTTAAATGTGAATCAGTATATGACTTCAAAGGATTCATACTACTAATCAACTCACTACACTGTTATACCAATAACCAAACCCAATTTTCAAACGCCTCGACACGTGTTTTGCTAACTATGTCAGTATCTTCAGGAGAAGATTAAAACTAAATATCCTATTCTAGGGTGCTGCTTATATACTAGGTATCTGTTCACCCAACTGTGAAAAATACTAACCATCAAGCTGTTGATTGTCATGGTTGAGTTCACATGTTAATCTTAGTTCTCATATCACTCAACTATATAGAGGGCTATATGGAATAGATCCATTATCCTCATTAATTACTCTATTACTATTCTTAAATGTCTCTAAGCTTCCATATGCGTCTAAATTTCGAATATTTTCAACTTGGTTAACTAATTTGAGGTTCTTAATATGTGTAATATGATTATGATTGAACATACATCATAATACACATATTACTAACTTCAAAACAGTTTAGCAAGCTGATAATATCAGAAAACTAGACGCATATGAAAGCTTACAGATATTCAAGAATAGTAAAAGAGTAATGAATAAGGATAATGGACCTATTCCATAAAGCCCTATAGTTTAGTAGTATGAAAATTGAGATTAAAATGTAAACTCAACCATGACAAACATTAACTTGACAGTTAGTATATCTCAAGGTTGGATGAACAGATACCTAGTATATTAGCAGCACCCTAGAATAGGATATTTGATTTCAATCTTCTCCTGAAGATGCTGACATAGTTAGCAAAACACGTGTCGAGGCCGAGTGACAAAACATTGTAGTGTATTATCGTGCCAAGCGTTTCAATCTTCGATATACTGATTAACTCTCGTTGTGGAAGGCTCGAGTAACGACCTTGACGTGGGGCCACAACGACAAACGGCTGTTTCTGGCCACCGGCACCCAAATCCACATCGCGTGGGTGTCCAAAAGGATAGCGTCGTTGCAGCTGCTGTGCCGATTGAGGATTCACGATCTGATAGCCGAAGAAGGACAACTGACGTCCTTGCCTCTGCCGGCTCGTCTCGGGAACATCATCGGGAACTTGTTTGCTCAAACTATTAGGGTGAGTCAGTCCGAAAGAATCTGCTGTTCACATAAGTTAGTGCATATGAATTATGAAGTGGTCCATGTGATGTTTGTTACTCTGCTATAATAGCACAGGCTATCAATGATATAAGTATCTGAGAATGAGAAGAAATTAGTATATTATGTAACAAGTGTTATAAACGTCCTTTTAGTAACGAGTATTTTAAGCACGAGCGGAGCAGAGCGGAGCGAGTGTGTCTAGAAGAGTATATGAACGCGTTACATACTATGCTTTTTCCACGAACTCCGAAAATCACATTAACATACGTGCTATTCCTACTGACCCACAAAATAATTCGAAAGGAATGAGAATTGAGAACATAATACATGCAACTGCATGCAACTAGCGAGACACGTGTAGATGTGTCTAGTCCATTTCATTATATGACCTTCGATTCGAGAAATTACAAAACCATTTCGAGTTCAGACACCAGACATCCACATTACGAAGTAACACTCCATTATTCGACTAGTAACACAGAGAAAATTTTGTTTCATCTACTGAAGACTACGTTATTCTCCATTCCATCATTCAGTATTCTTTGTATAGAATCTTTCAGAATTTTCTGTGTTCGAACAAGATCACACATCCGACGACTATACATACAACGTTGATTCTTTGGAGAAGAATTCCAACTTTCAATTCCATTCCATTTATTTCGAAAAAATGCATCATTCTGAATGAATATTCATAACACGATAATCAAAGCATTGAATTTGAAAATTCCGAAAATGTTTCGAGAGAAAATTGAAAAAATTATCTGTTCAAACGGTAAGGTGACGACCACGATGCAATTTTACACCCATTCAATTATCACCCTGTAGCAATGTTATCTGCAATGACAGAAGTTTCATATTGCCACAACAAACTATCAAGAGCTTAGGCTAATCATCGGTGAAAACTGATATCAAATTGGTGAGGAAATCCGTGAGTTATTCTATTTTGAATTCAGGCTATATTTTGGAGCACGACGCGTTATTAATGTTGACCAGTTTATTTTTTAATGAAGAATTCTGATACAAACGAATATTGTTTGAAAAATTTTGATAAAGAAATTGAAAATAACGGTTGACAGTTAATGCAATTGACAGACCAGAAATGTCTCAAATTACTGAAGCTGTGTTCAATGAACTGTGTTGCCATGGTAATGTGTTGAAGAAATCGTGTTGCCATGGTAACGTGTTCAATATTTTGAATGAATCACAGATCGACAATCCGTGATTAATCGATCATTTAGCGAGGTACATATTGTATGTACAGTATGGTGGAAATGTATGGAATTAATTCATTATCTCTAACGCATATGAATTTGAGGAAAAATCCTGAGACAGGTCGATTTTTATTTTCAAATTGACATCTCATGATATACATACGGAGTTTGTAACGTCATCCGAGTAGTTGTGGTGACGTCATCGATTATTTTTTCAAATGGAAACATCCCCTTTTTGTTTCTTTTTTCTGAAAGTATATTCATTGTCTATCCAACCATATACTGATATTAGCAAAATGAAGCGAGACAAAGTGAGAAAAAATTATTGATTATTTTATATTTACAACGGAAACCGTTACAATGAATGTTCGAATTGGTGACCTTCTGCAATGATACAATGTGAATGACGATATACATTGTTTCTGTTCTGATGTAAACAGGTCGAATTTTTCATTCATTGTGATTGTTACCGTTGTGAATATAAAATAATTAATAATTTTTTCTCACCCTGTATTACTTCATTTCGCTAATATCACTATATGGTTGGATAGACAATGAATATACCTTCCGAAAATAAAAAATAAAAAGGGGATGTTTCCATTTAAAAAAAATAATCGATGACGTCACCACAACTACCCGGATGACGTTACATAATCCGTATGTATATCAATAGGTGTAAATTAAATAAAAATGGACTTGTCTCAGGATTTCTCTTCAAATCTATATGCGTCAGAGATAATGAATTTATTCCATACATCTACACCATACTGTATATCCGTACACTGAATGCCAGAGTTTACTCATAAACATCAAGGACACTCTCCCCCTTCTTGTCCCTACTAATAATGTGACAGCCCGACATAATTTATACACTGTAGAACTGATACACTTCATCTTTAATCTCTTTAATTATAATCCTTTTGCCTAGTTCGTGCTGTTTTATCAAGTGCATGGCGCACATACATTACAGTCCACTCACTGTATGATATCACAAAGTACCTTCATTGAAAGTTAGTGAATCAGCACCTTCCACCATGAAATTTCGAAATCAATTAGTCCACTAGAATTCGTTAAAAGATGATGATAGTGAAACTCATCTAGGCTCATCCAATGAAATGATATCGTTACGTTATTTTTTGGGAAGAAGTTATCGACGACAATGAAGCCTTCGATTTTGATGGTTTTGTATTCAACTTCTTCAATTCCAATGAAATGCGGGAAAAAACCTGCCCAACAACTATTGCATTGTTCGCAGCTATTTAAAAATCCATGAAGAAAATTTAGGAAGATTAGGAATCATTGATGATAGACAATTTACCTTCTACCATCGAAGATCAACTGAAGATTTACTTGCCGACGAAATGAGTTCCTTATTCAAGAATAGTCGAATCCAAAGATTTTTAGAAACCTATGACAAGTTATTCATATGAGATGTGTTATGTTACTGGTGTTGAAGTAATGACGTTATGGATGGTGTTTCCAAATACAAACAGAAAGCTCATTCGATAGGTTTACTGATCGTCTATTCAATATCTCCAGATCTTCATGAGAGCAAATTCATCCTTGAATCCTCAGCAATCCAGAAGAATAATTCCATTATCTGAAGGAATCAGTTATACTGGGATTGAAATAGGTAGCTCGTCGTTAATTTGCATGGTTTGAGTGAATGAAGAAGTATATTATGGATCGCGTTCATACCCACTATAATATCAAGTGAATGATACTGACAGTACTACCACATGAATATCTTTTCTCCATTCCTACCGTTCCAAAATATATCCAGTATAATACAGCCTGGAACTTTCCAGCAACCAACATACTATTTTATGCAAGGTGTTCCATGACTAGAACCCCATAGCTTGAGGACATATTCTCTTGAAAATTCCAAGTTGGAAGTGCTCCATACACTCTTGTCCAGAAATTAGTTAAGATGTTTTGAGCAGTTGAATAACAACTTTGCTCAGCAGTGGATTGCAAGAGGTGGTCCAGTAGTTTGGCAACCGAAGTCACCTGACCACTATTATCTTTGGAGACCTATGAGAAGTCTAGTGTATTCAAATGAACTAGAACTAGAACAGAGAAGCCAGAATGTCTTGTGAAGCAGCAGGGAGCATTTTGAAGATGATCATTCTCTTGACTTCATGACACACTTCATCAAATTTGAAATTGCTGATTACTCCTCAACTATAGAGTTTTGGACAGAAGTGTATGGATAACTTCAAACTCGAAATTGTTGAAGGAATATATCCTCTAGCTATGGGTTCGAGTCACGGAACACCCCGTATTGTTTTTTTCTCTTCTCTCCTCGAATTTTTTTAGTTAAATAGTTCAGTATAAGTATCTCCTTCAGAGTCCCTTTGATATGAAGAATCAATTATTTCAGTGTCCTTGAGTTTTAATAGTAGGTATCATTTCTTCCCGAATATAGACTTTTTCATTGTTTTTTCATGCAACTTATATTTTCAACAAAATTCGAGCTATAACCCTTTTCTATTCGAAGTCGATCGATGTAGGGTACTTGGTTTTCGTATAAATGCGAATATGTTCCCATTTTCTAGTGCTGCGTTCCTGCTTTGAGTGCACTGAGAGATTTCGTTTCAAGACCACCAGTCGGATCGGTGCGTCTCCATTGTACGATGATACGTCACGACGAAGAAAGCAATTTGACTTCTGGCACGTGTTACACGCTGTATCTGGAGTATCTGGGCGGTCTGGTGCCACTGCTGAAAGGAAAGCGAATCAGCAAAATCAGACCAGAGTTCGTCATCTTCGATCCCCAAGAAGGTAACGAGATTCATTATACTTTCATTCAACAAACTTTGGTTTATTGCTTCCAATGAATGAAAAGTAGATTCTTCATTGTTGGGCGATATTCAAAAATTCGGGATTTTTCGTATCGAATATTGACCATCAGTTCATACAGGGTGAAGACTTAAACAGGAATAAATTCGCTACTGAGGAAGTGAATGCTTTTTCTGAAAACTCGCGAGACACGTCAACGTTTAAATGTATCTACCTACATTTGGCAAGCAATGTGGAGAAAATAATCCTTCAGGATCACAGGAATATGCCCCAATATGTTTTTCTCAAATGCAACCCTGAGGCTTACGACCCCTCATCGGAAAGCTTGTTGAAAGAAGAATCCAGCGTACTGATCATATCTCAGTTTGCAGTACGTTTGAGGGTCGCATGAAATCAAAATATAATTCCGAAGTTCAATTTATTTTCAATGTATTTTCATCAAAATTCCGACTTCCAAAGAACCACCAGGTTGCAATAACACTTTGTCTGAATACAGCAACACACTTAATTGATTTCTGCGGCTCTATAAAAACACTGAAATATAATAGCAGATAGCAGTTGTAGCAAAAAGTTGCCATCAATTGTTCAACACACATTTTGAGCAATTATCACGTTGAAGAAAATTACATTCAAATTTTATGCAGTCTTCAAACGTATGAAAAACTTCAATTTGACTAGTATCCTGGATTCCTCTTTCCACCAGCTTTCCAATGAAGGGTCACAAGCCATAAAATTACATATGGAAACATCATGTTGAGGGTGGTTTCAGCTACTCCTAGAGGGATATATTCTCGAAATCGCCTGCAAAAAGTAGGTAAATAAATTAGATCGTTGACATATGTCGGGCATTTCCAGAAAAAATATTCACCTCCCCGTTAACGAATCTATTTCAGTTAAAGTATCCACACTGTATGACCTACAAGTGAATAGTAGTGTAGTATAGTGTAATTTCATTCTATCATGCATTTTGACTTCTTCGTAGTTGGGATTATAGTATCGCTTTACCTCTGTACAAGAGAGATGTTATCAAGTTGAAAACCAAGCGGCTGTTTCATTAACTGAGAAGGTTGCGTACAAAACCAGATATATTTACCATAGTATTTACTTTCCAAAAGACCCCGCACAAAACCATAGGGATTTGGCTCACAGTGGGATTTGCCTGAAATTCACAAATGTTATTGGTATGGAGTTTCTGATCAAATGTTCTCATGTCACCAATCCTCTAAGACCAAAGATTCAGCTCTCAGGGTCGTATTTAGTATAGATGCCAAATAAACAATGACACTCTTTTTTCAAGCCCATGATTTTTGTATCTCCCATTATGATTTAATTGAATGAGAAATGTTGCGGAATCTTGGCATTCGTCTTTTAGCACAAGTCCTCTGTAAAACATGCCTCGTCCTACAGGGCCGTATTTGGTGGAACTGTATTTGCCAAAGTGCCAAATCGAATTGATTTTGTTATTACTTTGTTATTTCTTGTCCTATTTCAGTGGTCTTTTGATAGATGAATGTCGATTTCTTTGTGTACATAACAAAAGTGGTCACCATCTCAATATTCAAGATGGTCGGCCTAACATTTTATCTTTATGTAGGAGATATCTCGTAGCTTTTTAGGAATTATAGTAACAGGAAAAGATAGGAACACGTTTGGATTGTTGAAATCGGTCATTTACTTCTTCAATTACCTAACTCTATAATATACATATAACTCTACTATCTAATTGTCACTTCATCTAATTCATTACTAACGAAGTTGAAACCGATATTTACAGGGTGGTGAACAAAAAAGTCGAGCACTCACTACCAACATAATTCCCGAACACTTACAGCTGCTGGAGTATTGCATCTTGCACTGGACGATTTGCGGCATCTTTAATATGCTGTAACACAGAAGTCGATGGATAATTCACATTTTGATTATGGCGGGCAAATCCTGAATACCACAATATGCTACAAATATGAGCACATGTTCCTAGTATCCTTGCCCCTGATTTACAACTGCAGTAGTATTCTATTATCAATACATCTTCTTCATCATTCTCGACAGGCTGGTTTTCATGCGTAGTGTATTGAATAAATACTCGATATTTTTCTCTCCTCCTGAATCGAGAATACACTCTAAGTCTAATGAATCCAGGTTCATTCACTCTGAGATCAATTTCAAACGACTCATGGTCATATCTAAGTATTCTCTCTTAGACATAGGACGCTGATAGCATTTGCCATTAAAATTGGTGGATAATATCGCATATTAAAGATGCCGCAAATCGTCCAGTGCAAGATGCAATATTCCAGCAGCTGTAACTGTTCGGGAATTATGTTGATAGTGAGTGCTTGACTTTTTTGTTCACCACCCTGAGAATATCGGTTTCAACTTTGTTAGTTATAAATCAGATGAAGTTTCAATTAGATAGTAGAGTTATATTTATATTATAGAGTTAGGTAATTGAAAAAGTAAATGAGCGATTTCAACAATCGTAACGTGTTCTTATCTTTTCCTGTTACTGTCATTCCTAAAAAGCTACGAGATATGTCCTTTATGAAGAATGAATGTTAGGCCGATTATCTTGAATATTAAGATGGTGACCACTTTTGTTATGTACACAAAGAAATCTACATTCATCTATCAAAAGACCACTGAAAAAGGTCAAGAAATGACAAAGTAATAACAAAATCAATTCGATTCGGCACTTTGGCAAATACACTTTTACTAAATACGGCCCTGTAGGACAAGGCATGTTTCACAGAGGACTTGTGCTAAGAGATTTCGCAACATTTCTCAATCAATTAGATTATAATATCCAAAAATCATTGGCTTTAAAAAAAAGTGTCATTGTTTATTTGGCACCTTTACTAAATACGACCCTGAGAGCTGAATCTTCAGTCTTAGAGGATTGGTCACATGAAAACATTTGATCAGAAACTCCATACCAAAAACATATGTGAATTTCAGGCAAATCCCACTGTGGGCCAATTCCCTATGGTTTTGTGCGAGGTCCTTTCTACAGGAATTGAGAAGAACGTCTGTAATCTATTGCTTGATTCATCAGATTCGAATATGGATAATAAATAGGATCAATTTTCTTCAGATGAAGTGTAGTGTGAATCCATATCAATATACAAAAAAAAAAATGGATATACTCATCTTGTTCTGCACCAAAATCAGAGAAATTTCTATGGGAACAGTATAGTTTTACTAGTATTATCATAATAACATTCTCTCAAATAAATATGCTCTCCATTTTTTGTCATTTTCATCTACTTCATCATCTCCAGCTCCAGCATAATCAAATCCTTCACATTGGACTTGCACCTTCCTAGTACATGGATATAACTTGTTCTGCTTACAAATTCAGATTTTGTTTTGATACGCAATTCTAAGACAACGTTTGCGGTCGAATATGTACGAATATTTTAGTAACGAGTAATTAAAGCACGAGCGGAGCGGAGCGGAGCGAGTGTTTAATAAACGAGTGTCTAGAAGAGTTTATGAACGCGTTACATACTTTACTTTCTACGAACTCCGGAAATAACATTGACATACCTGCTATTCCTGCTAACCTACGAAATAATTCGAAAGGAATGGGAATGGAGAACATAATACATGCAACTGCATGCAACCAGCGAGACACTTACAAGTCCCAGATAGCACGGGACGTCCCGAAGACGTCCATTTTAGGTCCATTTTTGGTCTGAACGTCCAGGACCTTTTATGGACGTTTTTAAGACGTCCATTATTGGACATACTCCGGACGTCCAGAAAAAGACGTCTTTAAAACGTCCAATTTACAGACTCTCACGGTATATCAGTTTAAATTGATATAAGTAGGTAGGTATATATAAATTTTGAAATTAGAATTATTGAATTGAATATGGACATGAATAATGTCAAAGAATATATTATATATCAGCTGTATCAATATATTGAATTTCATATTATTATTAATATTATGAATTTGGAATTTTTATGATTTTAACTGATTTGTACCAACTTATATAGTTATGTTGAATCATATTCCTTCAATCACATAATACCACTATACAGTTTGACCATTCTTAAACCCACACTGAAGTATTCATACAAGCCGCGCTTTTATAATAAGATTTGATTGAATCACTGAATATGTAAAGCAACCGTAGAACGCATGCGTACTCAGCGTTGCCAGGCTTACTATTTTAGCAGTAGATCTACTGTTTTTGTCTCCGTTCTACTGTTCAACTATTCAAGGCAATATGGTCTGATTGGTCAAGTTTTGATATGACGTAACTACCCAATATGCAACAATGAAAAATTAATGGGACATCACAGTAAGAAGATGTATGATAAAAATATACTGCAACTATCATATTCAGTCTGATTAGTGAAAATTAGCTTTTATTTCCAATCTGGTTGCGGTTTTCACAAATTTTATTTTTTATTTCATTATTTTTTGTTTTTCTTCGTTCGATTTTTGATAGGTATAGAGACCGAACATGATTTTTTTTTCGTTTATTATATGGGTGACTATGTTTTTTCATTTATGATAGCAATTGTGATGATTATCAAAATCTTCTGTTCAGTTTTGATGATCTACTGTTTTTTCCCCACCCATCTACTGCTCCGACAAATTTTCATCCGGCAACACTGTGCGTGTTACGTGTGAAACTGTGAAACGAAAACGTAGGAAGATGGCGTCAGTTGACCACTGCCGAGTGCCTATCAAACTGTGATTCAGGTCCAAGGACATTCTGAACTTTTCGGGTTATTAGACTGTAAAAGCGGTGAATAAGTGAAATCTTTGCGGATATCATCTATCAACTGGTGAACTTCGATCTCGAGTTCCATCGAGATGTTTATTTGAAGGCAAGTATGGCTATCGACGCTATCGTTTTATTTTCATTCGTATGAAGATGCTTGAGTAAGAACATCAAATCTGTAGTTGAAAACATTAGATACCTTTCTAAATAATTTGATCTCATGCAAAGCTCTACCTAATCCTATTTCCATCATCTACCAAAGTTTATATTTTTGTATATAGTTAAAACATAATATAATTCGTGCAAGGTTATATACCTACCTAAGAATCAGTTTATGTATGGAATAAGTTCTCAATGAAATAAAAATAATGAAGTATTCCGCTATAATGACTAGGTACTACACGTTGAAAGTGGGTGTGTGTTTATGGTTTATGGTATTCACAGAAGATGTTATTGAATATTATTATTATTTACAGATCCAGTGAAGAAGACAACAGAAGGCTGCCAATCAGAAAAAGACATCATCGCGCCTGCGTACCTGGATGAATCACGCGACGTTTTTAGTGGTGCAGCTGCTGATATACGATATGGAAGAGTGAAATTGAAACAACTACCTGAATCTCTGTTCATATTATTGTTTGCGAATAAATGTTAACTAATATTCAAGTATTTCACTCTTCAGATGGGTCAGAAAATCAATAATCAATATTGTCTGAATGTCCTCAATACGTCCATTTTTCATCCCGAAAAGGTCCTAGTCTGGACCTAAACTGGACGTCCCCAAAACATCCTGTTTATTAACAATGGACGTCCCCAAAACGTCCATAAGACGTCCGTCGTCCGGAAATGGACGTCCCCAAAACGTCCTGAATGTCCAGAGTGGACGTTTTTAAAACGTCCATGAGACGTACTTGTGCTGATTGGGGTGCGATATTGGTTGTAGATGTGACCAGTCCATTGCTCACTAACCTTTGTTTCACGTTTATTGTCATGCTTAGGGCATAATGAATAAATTGTTCTCAAAGATGGTTGCTTCATTTCTACACTTCTTGGAGATATGCAAGTACCAGAACATTCTCTTCGATTGAACTTTCGCCTACATTCCGCATATATTTTCAATGAAGAATTCTGGTACAGAAGAATATTGTTCGGATAATTCTGATACAAAATTTGGAAATAACAGTTTACAGTCAATACAATTCCCTAACAACACCAGTACATCCTAGGGACTCCCCATGGACGCCTCTGATTTTATACTAGGACATCCCAGGGATGTCCTTTGTCGGGACAACGTACATACTAGGGATGTCCCAGGGACATCCGCTGGCCGCTTAAAAAGGCATCCAAGGGATGTCCTTCTGGTACGTCCCTGGGACGTACCAAGTACGATGAAAGGATATCCCTAGGACGTCCCAAGGATATCCCAAGGACATCCTTTCAACAAAAGAAAAAAGTTGCAGGTCGAGTAGGGATTGAACACGGGACCTTTAGCTTATCATGCACGCACCTTGCTCCATTGGCTATCATGCCTCCTGAAGATTTATCTACTGAACAGATTTATAAACAGAAATTAACTACAGAAACCTGGATGAATACAAGTTTATTAGGAATTGGGTATAATTATTATCATTCTTGGGTGTTCAAAAATGAGGGGCATTATGCATGTACGATTTCTGTCTGCGAAAAATGGCAATTTCTCAAGAAGTTCTGAGACTTTATTCTTTATTTTCATTACAATCATTTTCCGGAAGAGAAAAAAACATTTTCGAAAAAATTCATCTCAATAGTTTGATGAAATTCAATGACTCTGATGTGAATGGATATCAGATACTCCAGGGACACGAATAGGATAACCTAGGGATGTACCGGGCGGGATTTCCACTGGACAACCACTGCAGGACATCCCCTGGATGTCCCAATCATGTCCTTGTACCGTGGGACAAAAAAGGGACGTACCTAGGACATCCCTGTGTTGTTAGGGTTGACAGGCCAGAAATGTCCCAAATCACTGAAGATGTGTTCAATGAATTGTGTTTCCATGGTAACGTGTTTGATATTTTGAATAGATCACAGATCGTCAATCCGTGATCAATCGATCATTCAGCGTGGTAAATATCTGTACGCTATATGCCATTTTAGTTATGTAAGTAGAAACATTATTTAGGACGTCAATCAGACATACTTGTGCTATCTGGACTATTGCGACTGATTATTTCTGATCATCATGCACAGCAGATATCGCCCATAAAAACCCATGAAAACCCTCTCGTCGTTCCAGATCACCATTCAGCGGACTCCAAGACCTCCTCGTCCTCCAACTCGGCCAGCAGCGCATGCGCAGCCACCTCGGCCTCCTCCGACAGCGACGCGGAGGAGGGCTGCGCCGGGTCGCCGAGGATGCAGCGCAAGAGGCGGAGGAGGCACAAGCAGGCCGCTAATCATCATGCGGATAGACACGCGTACCAGCGGACGGAGGCGGAGGCGGAGCGCGGCGAGGGGTTGTCCTACGTGGACACGTTGCCTGAGGTGAGTCGGAGCAGAGTTGTCAAATGTGGCACAATTGTGCCAAAAGTTTAACTTTCAGCTCTGTAGTGGCACCAGGGCCCGCACTATTGGGACTTCTTTCAAACACTACTGATGGGATTTACACTTGACATGTTATTCAAAAGAAACTCCGAAATTTTCAATATTGACTGGTGTATCTTTGCTATGTGCTCAAATATGAATATACTATCAGACTTCTTAACTGGGTACCTACACCATTATCCAGAAAAAGACTTTCCTCAAACTAAATTTAAACAAAGAAACGACAATTCACCACTAAATTTTTTCAATCTAGCCTTAAACACAATGCGAAATACTTTATCGATAAACAAAACTATCAGTGATGTCACTGGGTCTGATGAAGACAAATTCAACTTCAAATGTTCCAAACAGCATTACTATACTGCAAGTTATGTTTCTCAAACACGGGGTTGTGTTTTTGAAAACAATTTATTTTCTTTACAGACGTTCAAGAAGCTAGAGATACAATCAGAATGAATGAAAATGGATTTGGGTTATATTTATAAACTAGGTTGAGCTGACATTGCAGAAGTCCATAGATAGTGGTCTATTGTTACGTAGTGCTGCGTTGCTAGTTATCTATACATAACTTGCACTAACCAATGTGAAAAAAATGCTCACGACAACTTCATCCTCAAATCTAACAACAAATTTAAAGATACATGGAGATTGATCAACAAAGAACGATGCAAAAAACTGACCAGAGGCCCTGCTAGTTCTGTGTCTGTGGAGGATTTTGCGCAATACTTTTCCACAGTGGCTGACTGAAACTGATGCTTCAGCCACTGTCTTTCTAAAATCACTACCAAATAAAGATTCATTTTCTCTTCATCCTACAACCTGTCAAGAGGTAACAGAAGCCATCAGTGATTTGGAACTGTCAAATCGCTGTGATGTATATGGCTTGAGTAGTTAGATGTTGAAAGAGATCCAACACGTCGTTGCCGAGCCAATTTCTACACTATGCAATTCATGCTTCTCACATGGGTTATCACCTGACAACTTTAAAGACACCAAAGTATTGCCTATTTATAGAAGAGGGGATATGGAATTACCTGAGACCTATCAATCAATATCGATCATACCTATTGTGGAAAGTTATTGAAATCATTGTTGAAGAAAGATCAACTCACTACTTCGAGATAAAAACACTTCCACACAATTACCAATTTGGATTCAGGAAGGGGCACTCTACAAAAGAAGCTGTCACAAAACTTGTGTGTGACGTAGTCGATGGCTTTGAAGAGGGAGAACATACGTCTCCAACTTTATGTGATCTCAATGTTAGGAAATTATCTTATTATTTCAACTGCTCTTGAAAAAGTGGACTGTAAAGGACTTACCGAAATGATGATGATATCATATTTCTCCCTATTCCATTCACACCTGTCATATGTTACAACATTGTGGGGCAACTCGTCCCAAACTTTGAGAACAGGAGCAGAATCGGTCCCGAAATGTCCAAAGATAAGTGAAGATTCGATATTTCTCCAACATATCTATATTTCTTTCTTTCAAACATTTTTTCAAACAAATTGTCACTGACAAGCTACTGGATTTCTCGTTTAGGCTCTCTGATTGACAAACTCGTTAAACGCAGTGACATTTCGGGGCAAATCATCTGATTTGTTTCACTACAAATATATTGAAATACTACGCATATTTTTTTTTATAGAAACGCAGAGGGAAAATCCCAAAAAATTAAGTAAAATGTTAATTTTTCAATTCAATTAGTCTGATGAGGTTCTTGTATATTTCATATTTTCATGATCTAAATAAATAAAAGTTTCCAGTGATGAGACATACAGTATTTTGTATTCGAATTTCCTACCTATCATCATTATCAAACTTGTGGTTGAGCCAATGAAATCGGATTGCACTTGATATCATTCTGATGACTAGTCGACAGCCATTTTATCATACAGTGAGCCATAATATCCAGCCTGAATAAGCGAAATTTCATTTTTGTGTCAGCACGTTCGCCTCGTAGAAGTGACGTCAAACATTTGGGGCACCAAATTCAAAATCCACGGCCTACCTTCATCTGTGCCTGCCAATCTGGGCCAAGTGACCTACAAGACATCCCTGCTCCATTTGCAACCGCGTCAGATGACACTAGTCATGACCGAATTGAGGTGGGTACCTTATTCATAATAGAGGGTTTGATTCAATTGATTGGTAGTGGTATCGAAATCTCAATAATGGAATAGTTTTCTCATTATAACTTCAATATTGTTCTGAGATATTTTCATGAAATAAGACATACACCTACTGAGCACCATATGTGGTAGTTCTTAGGTAAGATGTGTTGCTGTCTAATTTTCATTCAAGTGAAGTTGATTGCTTTTAGGAGTATGATAAATTGACATTCATCATACAGGGCGTGGAAAAAATTCTGAATTGAGACTCTATCACGAATCTGCGATTAGAGGTCTCTTAAAATCACAAGTTCCCATCGTTCAGGTTTGAGCCGCCTCATTGGGTATGGAAGTGTTAAAAAGGAATATTCTCAGATAAATTATGAACATACAGAAATGGATATATATTAATATGAAGCCATACATTGAGAATTCGCATTCTCTATGTGATGAGAATATCTACTCTTTTTCAGTTAATTCGATATTTTTCTGAAGGAGAATGCAAATTCTCAATTCCAGAAGTTTTTATGTTTTATTCTCAAACTCTTATCGTGTGTGTTCAATAGATATAATTCAATGTTCGTCGTGGCATATAGCCAGGAAAGTAGTTGTTTTTTATTGAATAAACTGAAAAAGAGTAGATATTCTCATCACAGAGAGAATGCGAATTCACAATGTATTGCTTCATATAAATATATATATCAATTTTTGTATGTTCATAATTTATCTGAGAATATTGCTTTTCAACACTTAAAGTTGATTGATTGAATTAGCCAAAACGGTTTCAATTTTTTGACGCGAGAAAAATCATGCAGTCGAATTGTTGCAATATAAATGACGATTCCAAATATGATGTATATTTTCGGAGGAAGGAGGAGGCGTATCACATTTTTTTTTGAACTCGAGTATACATCATATTCTTGTGTAAACTTGCTGAGAAAAAAACGAAGAAAGATTTATTTCTGGAACTTCCAGCAGATCAAAGATGACCCATTCAAAGTGATTCTAAATTCGATGTGAATATTTCATTGAACATGTGTCCTGATATATTTGATTTATCTTGTCCTGCTCAACCAAAACTCATGTTTGTAAAAATTCATATATTTTGTTTGCTATTGGTTATCAATAGATTGGATTTCAAAATCGGACCCCAAATGATTCAGGAGTTACAGCATTGACACTGGCCGTTTTTTCTGCAGTTCTCTTCTCTGTATACCCTTGATATAAAATACATTCCAAAACAGATGCAGCAAACGAACTGTAGCAAACAGAACATATGATTCTATAATCACGATATAGTTTTCAATTGGCATTACATATGAGTTGATGTATGGCCGTATCTCAAAATATGAAAGTTTGGTTCGTTAAGATTTCTTGTCAGGTATATATTAATCTTCAAGAAGTTGAATTTTCACGATTCAAGCAAACTGAAGGAATCAAAACTTCTTCTCATTACGAATTTTTCTGCATTGTTCGGGAATCGGAAATTCATACTCAGGGACTTAAAGAACGTTGATGTGCACGCAAAAAATGTTTTATATGCAGGCACATTACTTCACTCAGAATGAGCAATAACTGCTTAATTCAATCCCCTCTTCATAGTTGAATTTTCAGTAGGCGCCGAAGGCCACAGCGGACTATATATCAGACTGCTGCCACTTCAGCGGTTCTGGTTCAATTCTTGCGAGAGTCAACTATCTCCTAGAATCCTTATTTTGTTTTCTCAAGAGATTTCCCGAGAAATATATTTTCTTGGAGGAAAGTTCATCAAGGTCAACTTAGGTTAGATTGTTTCGAACAAAACATGTTTACAACAAAAAATTCCTCTTTTGTCAATCATAGACTGAAATAACATCCCAAATATTCCGTTCTATATCAAGTTATATTTTATATTAAATTGACTGAATAGACTTGATACATCATTTTCAGGCAAGTGACGTCATGCAAGTGTCTGTAATAAATTAATAATATGTACGTTAACGTTCCGATAGTCGCAAGCAGATATTATGAATGAAGATTCTTTTCTCATTATTATAATCAGCAAATTATTATTATTAGCGACGATTTTCCGGTGCTACCGGATCCGAGCTTCAACCCGAACCTGTTCTCGGAAGACGAGGAAGATTTGCCTCAGGCGGAAGACAGTGGTGTTACGTCGAAGGCGGGCATCGATTATTGTCCTCCGATAGCGCCCATGACTGTCACGAGAGGGAGTATCGTGAGGAAACAGTCGTCTGCCGCAGAGATTCCTAAAAGAGTCGGTAAGTTAACCAATAACTGAATGAGAGACAACATTGGTGAACAAAAGATCAATGAGGAATTTTAAAGACGGTAAATAGATATTTTTGATACAGGTGCCATATGATGTACGAAGAATTTAGGTGCATTCTATTCCTGATCATAAATCCTTCATCCAGTAGAAATATAAGCTGATGTTTTTTCGAATTCTGTTGATCCTTGTTCCCAGGTATCAGGAGTGAATATTGAGTTACGCAAACAAATATGAAGTTTTTCACCAACTCTAGACTGTTTATTCGACTATCAATTCAAGAATACTGATGGAAAACAGATGAATTACGTATGTACATAAGTATGAAAAGAGAAATATTTTCCTGAATTATGGACATGAGTCTTCTTTGAAGATATGTTGGATTGTAATTGCAAACAAATTTGATCAAAAAATTCCACTGAACACATAATTCATTATTCCAGATTTTTTTTTGAATTCTCTCTCCTCTTCCCTATAAAATAGAAATATTAATACTATTCGAATATACGTGTAGTTTCACACTCTCCAGTTCTCAGGACGAATACGAATTTGCTACACAAAGAATCCATTTTTTATGTTGAAAACGGAAGCAGATTCGTTCCCGAAAGGTCAGAAGATGAGTAGAGATTTGATATTTTTTTTTATATATCTTTATTTCTCTTCTCCAAACCTTGTTCAATACAAATTGTCACTGACAAGCTAGTGAATTCTTCTCTCAGGCTTTCTGATAGGAAAATTCTTCAAACGCAGTGGTATTTTGGGGCAGATTATCTGATTTTTCATAACAACACGTATATTGAAATAGTATTTACGTACTTATTTCATGGAGGAGAGGCAAAAAAATCCAAAAAACATCTGTATTAATGAATGTACCACCTCCTCGATTAATCTACAGGCAGTATTTAATATGATGATTCATTGAAAATTCTTGTCGAATTGAAGTTTGACACACTGAATTACATTTCTGGTTCAGGTATCGAATGAGTGGAATTGTGTGTACAAAAAAGTGATTAGTAAAAATAGAGGAAGCAATGATTCTGTTAGTATTTTCAGATAACATGAAAATGTTAATTCCACCTAAATTCCACCTACATTCCATTCCAAATATATCTACTCCGAAGTGATTGTGTCATAATAGATATCCAGATGATGGGATTCAAAGGATCCAATTTCCACATTTTATACATATTGTCACGACCACGGGGCCTTTTTTTCCTGGCTACGTGATCTAAGGAGGCTATGCTTGGCAGCAAGAGGGTGGCCTAACCACTACACACCGTCGCTAGATTTCAGCGAGGAGAGAGTGTGTTTCTTGTTTGGCGAAAATTTACATTCATCAAGTGATTGAAAACAGCGAACAATGACGAGAAGAAGTTTTGAGTTGGAAAAATGTTGACTGAAGTGGGAAAGCTAGAGTGGCCCTGTACAATATCTGATGATGTAATGCCAGTTATTGGAGGGTTTTTCAATTAGATAGATAGATAGATTACACTATGTGGGCGGACGGATCCTTCAGCATGTAGGCCTCCTAGTTCGGGCCCGTTATGCACCCACCTCTGCTGGGAATTGGTTCAGTCATGAAGGTAGCCAATTTCGCGGGCGAAAGAGACCAGCCTGTTGAATAGCAGTGCTAGATTCTATACTTGCATAAATCTACATTGTATATGTAACACTCTGTAGTCTGATGTTTTTATGTTTTATTCTGACTTTGACAATAAATATTGAATATTTCTCAATCATACTCTTGTCATCAAGTTCTTTGTGTTATATCTGAATTCGAAAGGTTATGGGCCCATGCTCGTTGTGATTCACGATAACAATAAACAAAGCTGATTAACAAGTCTACGAAGTATCAAAATATTCGAGAAATTTGCGAAGAAACATCATGGACAAGTTCCCGAAGTTCGAGAAATTACATGGTTTGGCAAATTTTCATTCATGGAGGACAATGGTTTTTGCGTATATGGATTTATATAATTTGTATACAATTGTAACTGGCGAGGAAAAAAATCCTGCGAGATCTCCACCTTCACCGAGTAGCTCAGCTGAGATACTACGGAGTTATAATGCGAAGTGCGAGGACTGGCGTTACAGACATTCTCTTTGTAGAGCCTTTATCCTTTTTAATGTTGATACCAATATAACTCCGCAAATCACGTGTTATTCGGATGCTTGGGATATGTGGAAAGTATTGAATGATTTATTCGATCGAAAAAACGAATATTCACTGCATGCCTTAGTGAAATCTATTGTTGGTATCAGGTGTGAGTCGAAGTTCACAATATCAGATCACATTGCGAAATATAATGAATTATGGTCTAGACTAGTTGAAAGAACTTCGAAGACTCTCAATGAAGGAGATGACTCACTAGAAGCCGCCCTCCGACCATTAGCTGTTTCTATGAAAGCGTTTTTCCTGACCACCCTGCCAGAAGAGATGGATGATATAATATATAACTTGAAAACTGAACAAAATGTAACGTACGATGATATATGTACACGGTTATTGGAATTATCCACTGCCACATCTTCATCTCAAGATAATCAAGCATACCATGTCAGAGATAAACGGGAACGAAAGAATCCGCAAAAAGAATGTGTTTATTGTAAAGAGCATGAGAAATGGTACAGAGGACATACCGTGAAGAATTGCCGAAATAGAAATAAGGAAGAGAAAGCAAATAACATCATAACAGATTCAGATAATGATGATGAAGAAGTAGCATATCCCGCTTCAACATCCTCCATCAATAAGTGGAAATGGATATTTGATACAGGAGCGACTTCTCATATGTCTGGAAATAAGCAAGCTTTCTGTAATCTCACATCACACTCTGGCTCTATCCGATTAGGAAACGATAAACAGGTGGAAATCACTCACATAGGCAATATTAAGCTGAATGCCTTATTGCCCAACGGTGAGAAAATCAATGTGACATTACATGATGTTCTTTATGCTCCCGATTTAAAATGCTCATTGATGTCCTGGGAGACGATGAAAACCAAGGAAATAACAATGAAAGGTGAAAAGGATATAACTCTCTGGAAGAATGGAAAAATTGTTGGCTGGGTGATTTCGAAGTTCAAAGAAAATGTATTCCAAGAAGCTCATATAGAATCGTCAAATTTCAATATTGTGACATGGCACAGACGATTGGGGCATTTACCAATAACATCCTTCAAAGAACTCGGAAAGGCTATAGCAGATCCTGATGCTCTGCCAAAAAACCGACCACTTATAGATTGTGAAGCATGCGAGACTTCTAAAATCACAAGAAGAATTTCAAGAGAGCCTGCTAACTCATGCTCAGACATCTTCGAGAAAATTCACTCTGATGTTGCAGGTCCTTTCTCTAAAAAATCAGTTGGCGGAAAGGTTTATTATGTCACTTTCATTGATGAATATTCCAGATTCACTGGAGTAAAATTCATCAGAACCAAGGATGAAGTTGAAACTGCTGTGATTGAATTCGTCAAACGAATTGAAAGACAAACAGACAAGAAAATCAAATTTTTCAAATCTGATAACGGAGGTGAATACTGTTCTAAATCTCTGCAAGATTTCTTCAGATCTGTTGGAATCAGAACCGAATATTCAATTCCAAGGATACACGAAACCAACGGTTTAGCAGAAAGAATGAATAGAACAATCACAACGATATCTAGAACTAGTCTCGTCGACTCAGAATTACCACACTGCCGTGCTAAGCCAAACCCTCGTATTTGAAAATTTTTAGAAATGGCGGAATATTGATTTGTAATTTCTCTTTTGTTTGTTGCTTCAATGAACCTTTGCGTTATTGATAGTAGTTGATTAAATAAAACAATAAGGGAACTAACATCCTCATGTATACCTAAAAAACAATTATTTTATTGTTTATATGCAATAAAATCTCATACGAGCATTTTTTTTAAATTCATTTGGCTAATTTCCTTCGCAAATACCTCGTATTTAGCAAATACGGGTATTTGGCCGTTCCATTCTCGAATTTACTTAGGTTAATCATCGTATTTGGCAGATACCGGTATTCAACATAGGAAATCCAGGTAATATTGAATGAGACAGTAACATATACTTTTTCAAGTTAGGTACTTCATTGACAGAATGTGAAATAATTATTGGATATTTGAGTTAGTACTTATTAATGGTAACTAAAAACATTGATTATTATGTTATTGAGTAGGTAGGTATACCAGAAAAATAAACTATTTAAAGAGTAACCTTTTCTGGGAGGTCCTTCCAAAATTTTTTTAGATTTTCTGGCATGATGGAACCTAAAGCTTTGAACAAATTGTCGAGTTTTTCTTGTTCAAACCCATTGGGTGCCGTTTTTATGGAAGGTGTTGGCATTTCACCAATATGATTTTTGGGCAAAAAGTCGAGTTTTTTCCATTCTTCATCGGATTTGCATTTGTAATAAATTTCAAATTCATTTCTTTTTACCATCATCCCAGTTAGTTTGGCAATATAGAACTCAGGATTTTGGTTTTTAATTTTACTAGCCGAGCTGAGATTTTTCGTTACTGAAAATCGTTCACTTTCATAGACTTGATCTAGACTTTTCCTTTATTGCTTGATTGTACTGCATTTTCAAAGTCTGCAAAATCATATGTTTTCCGTTGACGTTTTAGTGATTCTTCTACTTGATGATGGAATGAATCCGCAGACATGAAGGTATATGCCCTGGTTCAAAATAGTTTACATGTGTAGTTTGCGCGCGGTAGCAATAGTCAGGATTCAACAGGTCTAATTTCTACGCATATAGCACGTATTTGAAAGCTACTAAACAAAATACCCGTATCTGATTTCAAATACGGGTAAAGCGCTCAGGAAACTAAAAATACTGGGTTTAGCCTTAGCATTTCTCAAGTTATTTTCGAATACGGGTTTAATAACATTTGATTTTAAAGATATCTGGCTCAATTACGGTGATTTAAAGTAGAAAAAATTGAAATTTTCTATATTTCAATCTACTACAGCAAAAAATCTCA